TAATGTTAGATAAGTCCATATTGCTGCCCCATGTATCCATAGAGAATAAACCAACACTGTCACTTGTATACACGTGTTCTTGCTTTAAGGCATCATGTGTAGAAACTAGAAGAGGTATTTTTTTATTCCTCCAGAAACGATTGCGACTACAAGTATGTAAATTGTCGATCAACTTAACTAACGGAGACTTAAAACTCTTACTTTTCAAATAAAATTTCCCTGCTAAAAAACGACGTCTAACAAATAAAGGGGATAAAAATAACTCAGCTTCCATCACATGAATTGGGGTGCTTTTGATGTACCCACCTATCAACCGTAAACAAATATTTTGCAACCTATCTAATTTAATTAGATGTGTGTTGGCGCTATTGTCGTATAAGAAGCTACCAAAGTCTATACGGCTACGAATCAGTGCTATATATAAGCTCCTTAGGTGCTTAGGGTGGATACCCCATGCCGATCCTACCAAGATCTTAAAGATATTTATCAACTTGGTAACTCTTTCACACAATTCATTAATGTGTTTATTCCATCGCAGCCCCCTGTCTAGCCAGAGACCCAAGTATTTAACATTATCTACAAGTTGTAATTGAGTACCATTAAGAAGAACGTCGAGCACTATCCTACGGAAACCTCTATTAAATAAGCAAATTTTGCTTTTTAAAGGAGAAACTTGCAAGCCTGAATGTGACAGCAATCTATCCATTAAATTAAGTGCACACTGCATTTTAGTTTGACCCTCACTAATCGATGAGCATTGCAAATATATCGCGAAGTCATCAGCATACTGTGTTATGCAAACGTCATCATTCTGAATTTGTGTACATATATTTAACGTTAAAATATTAAATAGTAGAGGCGATAAAGGATCTCCCTGTGACAAGCCCATACCAGCGCATCTATTAATATAAATATTCCCGGATTTAATTTTTAATACTCTTTGGTGTAAAAAATTCCATAAATAATTACAAATAAGTGGTCCTACTCGAAGATTGTTCAAAATATCAATTAAGGCTGTATGGTTTACATTATTGTAAGCATTATCGATATCTAAAAAACAACTCATCGTTAAATACCCCGCAGAAAAACCTGACTGAATGAAGGTTATTAAGTTACTTAAACCATCCAAACATGACTTACCTCTACGGAAGCCTACTGTGTTTGTAGAAAAAATATTTTGTTTTTCAACAAACCACTCCAAGCGACGTAATATAATATAATGAAATGTCTTGCAAATACACGATAAAAGGGAAATAGGACGCAATCCTGATGCACTATTAATGTCTCGACCTGGTTTCGGAATAGGTATGATACCAATGTCAAGCCACTGCGAAGGAACAAAATTATTCATTAAAAAAAAATTAAATAATTTAAGTAATACCTGCTTACCTGCATCAGGTAAATGTTTAACCATCGAATATGAAATATCATCACATCCAGGAGATGTATCCTTATTTTTAATACATTTATTTAGCTCCTGGATAGAGATTTCACATTCTATTATGGAATTACTTTGATGAAGAGTGGGACATAATGGGAACGCATAATCTGGTGTAAGAGAATTGAGTAAATTAGTTGCACCAATAACATCTACATATTGTCTTTGCGAGCGATAACCTTTGATCCATTTCATTTTACGCCACATTTCACTGGAAGAAGTATTGTGATCGATCGAGGTGCAAAATTCCTGCCAATGTGACCTTTTAGCTATTCTTATAAGTCTTTGAGCAGAATGAATACGACTTTTAAGAATATCCAGGTTCTGTACAGTAGGATTACGCCTGAACTTGGACAATGCCAGCCTACGTTGTGCTACAACATGAGAAAGTTCTGATGTCCAGTAAGCTTTGGAGATAAATTTAGAAGTAGGGTTTTGATTCAATTTAAAATATGGGATAGAAAGGTCCGCGGCATCATTGATGGTATTAACAAATTAATCGTAACCTTTTTGTGGGTCACTTGGAAGGATAAATTTATGAAATTCTTTTTCTAAATGACTTTTATAAGCAACCCAATCAGCTTTTCGGAAATTCCTTTTAGATATAGGAGGGACGTGAAATGACAACTGGGATGATATTTTAATTATTAAATGGTCACTACCTAAATTTTCGTTTAAAACGGTCCAATTAACTCCCAATGCAATATCATTGGAAATCAATGATAAGTCAGGGGCCGATTGTTGCAAGTTGTTATCAACTAAACGAATACGTGTATGAGTTCCGTCGTTCAGCACGAAAAAGTTACTGTCCATTAGCGCGTCATAAATGAGATTACCTCTGTGATCATTTTTATATGACCAAGTGGTATGGTGTGCATTGAAGTCCCCTAGTATAATTGCATTATGTGACCACATAGACAATATACTGTCCCAATCCTGACGATTTGTAACAATCCTGGATGGACAGTAAACAGCGATCACGTATTCGAAAGGTTTACAATTAAATAATTGAACGCATATAATCTCGATACCTGCATTGTTGAGTCGAACCTGTTTTTGTTGCGATTTGATACTATTATGTAAAAAAATAGCTACTCCACCGTATGAGTCATCTCGATCCGACCTATAAACATTGTAACCGCTGATATTAAAATTACTAACCGGTTCGAGCCATGTTTCACTTATCGCAGCAATATGTACTTTTTCTTGATTTAAAATCTCACAAAACGACAGTAACTTAGGTCTTATACTTTGGGCGTTCCACTGAAGTACATTATATGAAATCGTGTTAGCCATCACGCTGGATATTCATCAAGTTCCACAATACTTTCATCATCGGCCATTCAGATACAAAGTTAACTATTATCAATACCAACCATTCTAAGCACAATTGTATTATCGATTTCACTTTAGTTGTAAGGTTGGATTGCTTACGGAAAATAATTTCCTTTATTCTAGCCAGTAATTCATTAAAAGAAGGGCCCTGATTGTTTTTATCATCCTCTTCGTTATTACCCGGGAGTGGACTAGAGTCATCTGGCTCAGAATTCCAGTACATCCAGTCTTCATTAACATCACGCTTTCTCTCTTTCGAGGATTGTTCTTTGTTAAGTTTTAATTTATTATGAGATTTAACAGGTGAACTAAACAATTCTTTTGATGGGTGAACGGTAGCCTTAGATTGAACTACTTCGGCATACGTAGAACGAAACGCTGGTTCTGGGTTAATCTGCAATGACTTCTGGCTAAGGGAAGGGAAAAGGTCCATAGAGCTCATGGCTAAGGGTGGCTGCACTGGAGCGACAGTATCGGGTATATCTTGACTTTTAGGATAAGTATAGCATTCCAAGGCTTTCCTGTAAGTACAGCCAAACTCAGACATAATCTCTCTAATCCTTCGCTCTTTCTTATAGGCCGGGCAGGTTTTGCTCAACGAAATATGGTTGCCTTTACAATTCACACAAACAAATCGAACAGTCTCACAATTTTCATGAGGGCCCCCACATTTTGGACACACAACTTTCTTTGATTGACACATTTTTCGACTATGACCTAACTTCCAACACAAGGAGCATTGCGAAACTTGGTGAACATAGGGCAACACTTTTATATTAATATCACAAACACTAACAAATGCCGGTAAAAAGTCACCTTCAAAACAAAGTCGAAGTGTTTCACTGGGACACCACCCGCCATCCACATTCGTATTGCGGCGGTTTAATCTTCTGACCGATAACAATTTAGCAGGAGCAGGGCATGAAATGTTTTGCTGTATTTCTTCATCTGACAGGTCAAGATCAACATTTTTAATCAGCCCATAGCTTAGTGAAAGTTGCATAGCTTTCTGAATTCTCCAGCCTTTTTCTATAAGCTTTTCGCAAGTACATAAATTATTCATAGCTAACTCACATTCAAATTGCAATCTAATTTTATAAGGGCTTAAATATTTGACCTGACTTATCTTGACGATATTATTTTCTTTCAAAATACGTGCCAATGCGAATTGCTTAGGAAGAGGATCTTTGTGTGATATATACACTTCATAATTCTCATTGTGCAGTTTACTAAAATAGTCATGACGTGTCTTTTTCTTGCCTTTTATTTGGGTCCAACTATCTTCATCTCCAGTACTATCCTCTCTCTGTCTCTTTTCAGCTCTCGCCAATTCATCACAACACACTTTATCTACAACTTCATTCTCATCATTATCATTACGCGTGCATGGATTGTAAATCATTGATTCGCGCTCACCACATGACGATGCACTATCATTATCTTCCATTGTTTACTTATAATGCCGAGTGGCCGAATGAACCGGCGCACTCCTGCCGCACGTGTGATCAATAAAAACTTAGTTTTAGAAATATTTATCAACACAATTCTACATAAGATATTTATTTTATGTTGAGAAAATTTAAAATATTTTTGAGACGTCCGATCAACAGATCTGTCAACGTGACACTGCTCTTATGACAATATTTGTTAATGTTAAGTAAGTCCTCGTCAAGTACCGTCATTATAGACACAATTATAGAGCAATAGGTCGCGTTCACCGGTGACCGATTGGTACTCGACGAGTTGATAGTTAAAATATTTTGTTCACATTTCTCCTTGCGTAGTTGTACTCAATGGAAGATGCATCTCATTGCCTAGGTGAATTTATAGGCAGTCTAGCTTTGGCATGAAGCCAGCCATCTGGCTCTCAAGGCAGTAATGCTTTATGTATAGGTACATGTATTATTTAATGGCGATGAATAATAATTAGGTAAGCCGCCATATTGAACCGATCGTGATTCTATTTGTCCGGTACTTAAATAGCATTACTATTTAGTTTTTGTTGTCAAATAAATTGTCTTGGCCGCAGCCTTAGCTCTGTAATGTTATAAATGCGATAGTTTGTGTGTATGTATGTTTGTTTGTTTGTTTGTTACTGTTGCACGTCAAAACGTCTGATATGACATATAGGTTACTTTTATCCCACGGGAAGGCGGGTAAACTCGATGGCAGAAGAATATTATTTTAACTTCATTGTTATTTAATTGTCCAATTTTTTTCTTTCTAGTCCGGTAAATATGGAGAGGGCTACATCGGATCTTCGCGAGGGATTGCAGTCCACGTGAGGTCTAAAGATGCGGAGAAAGACCACACTGGTTGTCAATGGCCACTGCTATCCACAGCGGCACCCAATGATCCTCTACCTTCAGAACCTTGGATCGCTGTCATTAGAAGAGGCAGCTGCAATTTCGAAATCAAGGTAAGCTATTTTTGTGAAGACCAAAAAGAATTTAGAGATTTAAAATCAGGGCCATAATACATGGTATATACCACAGATATAGATAGACCATACTTTATCGTATTTATGTGAAATGTGGCCTTTGTTTTCGGTAGACTGTTAGCGGGCTGTATTAAATCTTTTTGCTGGAGATGGCGTTCGTTGCCTCCATCACTGCCTCATCCAAGTCTTAAGTTTAAATTTATTGGTGGAAACTTTAAGTATGCAAACAAACTCCATTTATTATACGAGATACATTCGAATACGTTACTATCAACATATCAGAGGGCCTAGTGCATGTTTGTTTTACGTTAACGCTATCGACAATGACACGACAGTTAACCAACCAATCAGAGGGTTCATTAACAGCCTATAAATGCCCACTGCTGAGCAAAGCCTCTTCTCACACGGAGAAGCCTTGTGCATTAATCACCACGCTTGCTACTTGCTAAATGCGGGTTGGCGATTATAAACTTATAATTAAAAATTATAAGCCCAGGTTTCCTCACGATGTTTTCCTTCACAGTCTGTCAGTCTAAAAAAACTCTCATTAAACCCTTTGTTATAAAGTGGTTCAGGCTTCAGGAATACTAGAGTGCATTATAATGATTCCTAGTTCTAAACAGTAGCAACTAACGAAGCCCTGTGGCTTTATCGATGCTAATGCAATTACCTGCAATAGGTACGAGTACTTGTTAGCAAAACTGTTGTTAGGGAAACTCGCATAGTGAGTACATATGCACAAATATACATACATAACGTACAATTCGTACATATTTAACAGAATACATATCTAAGAACAAGATAGACAAGAAGAAGGAAAGACATATATTACACAGGGTTGCCTTCCTTTCAAGTAAAAATCTGCTATTAGGATCGATTTTTGACATTACTTTTAGTTAACCAAAAATCGCGGGTTACTCACGTGAAAATACTGAGAAAAGCTCTACTAGTTTGGAACCATAGAGGGGTTCCTCCTCATGAACAGCGTACGCGGTAGTAGCGATGTCGCGCAGCCTACTCACTTGTTATTTCATCATACCGTATATCACCATATGTCACCGAGATTTTAGTTAACTTAGTATGTCTCATGATAGTTATTATAATTATAAATCACTAGCAAACCCGGCAAACTCCGTTTCGCCACCAGATACTTCGTTTTATGTAACATTTCATTTGGTGATTTAAAGATGATGAATTTTTTTTTGTTTTATATTTTATAAACCTCACGGAGCCCGAGACCATTGAAACGAATGCAAAACCGTGGAAATCGGTTCGTGCGTTGGAGAACCCGACTTATTTTTATATAGTAGATTAGTTTTAGTTAGATGAAGATTTTATTAAAAACTGAAATCGATCCAGATATTTTGGAATAACATACATTATTAATTTCGACAATTAGAGAGAATACAGGCGTATAAAAATCTGTCTAGTGTATGAAGGTCGTATCAGATCAAACTCAGGACCTCTTTATACAAGTCTAGACTAACTAAGGGCAACAAAAGACCAGTTAATGGACATGCCAACTACACGTGCGCAACCTAACCTAACCTAACCTAACTCAAATGTAAGAACCCAAACATTAATTTATTACGTAGATAATATAACGCCTTTTATTTCTTAAGGTAAACAGAGCTGTATGTTGTACACTTTAATAAACCGTCCACAATCGTGATTACTGAGAATTTCTGCTTAGCAGAAGTTCTGTTTAAAAGATGCGGTCTGAACTACGGCTCCCACTCTACCTTTTGCTCTTGCGAAGACTGAACACTAGATACTAATATAGCTAGTGTTCACAGAGTGCTGTTTCTCAATCTATCTCCATTCCCAATTTCGTCTAAATCCGTTCAGGTGTTCTAGCATAACTAAGTAACAAATGTTTAAACTTTTGTAATTAGTCCAATTTATTGACTTCTAAAGATCACCATTAGCCATTATAATCTTTAACTCTATATAGTTATGTAATTCATCAAGACTACTTAGGTTCTGTTCCTTCAAGATTAGTCACTAAACCTAGACTTAGACATAAGCTTATTAGCGCAGTAAGCAATAAGCAGCCATATGCTTAGGTCTTACAGGCTTTGTCTAATCTGAAAATTGCATTGAAGTTCATTCATCCAACTGTTTATTACATCCTTGATTGGATTCTTGGATAAAAGAAAATAAATCTATTACAACAAAAGTACTCAGGATTATTTAATGATGGCATTGGTTCCATCCAAATTTCGAAAATTACACCTTATTCAGATTAGACTCACATTGAACAATTTTAAAATATCGAGCGTGATACATAATACAGGGTATTGACGTAACAGGCGCATTGTTACGTCATACCCAAGCCCTTAGCAACAACGTTCCTATGTCCGAAATTAACAAAAATAAAACCTAAATATTATCAAAGGATAAATAAGGATTACAATCGAGGACACAAGTGTCCGATATCAACGTGTAATCGCGAGATATCCCCCAATATTGTCAGCTGAAATAAATACTTTATTAAGTGTTGCCACTAACTAAAATATACCACAGGTAAAATATATCAATATGGCCAGGCCACTTGTGTGAAAGCTGTCATTAAAATGATAACAGTTTTTGGATTATTTTGGATAATTCCATGAATGTAACCCGGTAGTAATTACTTAGCGGATGTACTATATTGGGTTTTGTTATCATTTGTTATGAAACGACTAAACCGGTGTAAAGTGGTGTTATATTAACCGCTATGTCATTGGGGATGGATGAAACGTAATTTTGAAAGGAGGCAAAAGAACTGGAATGGAATTATGAGAATGAGATTTAACGTGCTAATTCGTTTTCTGTTTTCATTCTCCACTCGAATAACTAGGTCATTTAGTTGGGTACCTACATTATTTTATATTCTTTTTTTTACATTTTCATTCCATTGAAACTACTGTTGGCTCCTTTCCTACGGACATCTGTATGCGCATACTCCGTAACAAATTCCCCAACGACAGTGAAGAATAAATAAATCAATATAAAAAATTTCGATTTTTCAATACAATAAAATATTTAAAATAATCACAATTTCATTAATTGATTTTATGACCAACTTAATTTTAGTATTTACAGCTAATTTTTAAGAAATAAATTATGCTGTTGGACGCTAAAAAAACGTGACATCACAAATATACAATCTCGTACGAAATTCAAAAAAGTGACGTTTTTGACAGTTCGAAAAAAGTATTGAATTTGACTAGTTAGCAAGCACTCGACACTGGCAGTATAGTCAATAACACCGTTTTGGAGACTCGGTTGCCGAAGAAGAAAAAAAAAGTACTTACCCAAGTATATCCTTAATCCTTGTAAAGTAATTGTATTATAAAAGATATCGTCACTGTCTTACGTCATAACAATAATCGTGATAATTTATCGTTAACGGCCTTTCTTACCTTGATAATATTATTTATTGTTTATCAATAGATCCTATAGCCATTTCGTAATGCAATTGATCTGGATCAAACTATTGTGCGAATAAAAATGGTTTGAGTTCTACTAACTGGCCTGCAGATGAACAAATATGCTCCTATCTGTCAAATTTATTTATTGGAATTTCGACTTTATGTCAATAATATAAAGTTGAAGATGTAATAGGTTGACCACCGTACAGTGAATCGTTCTTTATTTAAATTCACCTGTTAAAGTTTACTGGTAAATCCTACTAAGATTTTAAATGCGATTTTTTTTTAAATACGTGTTTTATATTTATTTGTTACTCTTTTACGCAAAAATTACTAAACGGATTTTGATGAAACTTTGCAAGATATACTTAGATGATAATCTAGTACAACACAGCTTACATATTATAATATACTTCCTTATTCTTACATGATATTGTTAGGACGCTGTAGTGTGACGCAGATACGCAGTTCTAGTTTTTTTTTATTTACCTTTAATATCTTTTATAAATACGTATATATGTGAGTATTTAATATTATTAGGATATTGGATAGTGACGCAATTTACTTCTTTCTTCTGACACGATACATAAATGAATGAATGAATGTATTTAATTTGTCATTTCAGGTGCAGAACGCATGGCGTGCGAACGCGACCGCGGTCCTCATATACAACGACCGGGACACAACCAACTTGGAGAAAATGAAGCTGTCCACTGATAATGGACGTAAGTACATCCTTTTTATTTTTTAAAATAAGGCATTGTTAAGACTAAATTGGTTTCAGTTTGAAGGTACCCGCGGTATGAAACCTTCACTTCATCTCAAATATCACTCTATCCACTAGCGAAAGTCATATAAAACTTTGTTCAGTGATTTTTGAGTTCTTCTAGACGGAGAATTGCTTCGAATGTCTTTGTTTTATGACAATTTAAATATGATCAAATTAATGAATATTGTATGGAAAGGGAAATGGGAGTTTTAATGTAAAATATAGATCTATACTAAAAGTAAGAGAGATAAACTTTTACCAAACACACATAAAGCTATTTTAAACAATACGTCGACAACGGAAATTGCGAATGTCCACGTATGACGATGTCACTCAAGGAGTTCAACAATTCGTTCGTTATAACAAGTTAATAAATAACGATTATTATTATTAATAATCACTATCGAAATCACTTACAATGCGAATGTGAACGCGGAAGACACTTCATTGAGACAAACCTGTGTGACTTGTTAAGAGATTGTAATGTAAATATTATTTTTCAATGCAGTTATAAATATACCTACTGGCAACTGGAGACATTTTCGTGTGATGCTGATGAGTTGAAGGTCTTGTGCTCATGTTAGGTTAGGTTAAATTAAAACATACGTAAAGTCCCAGGATTCTGAAAGAACGGAAAACAATTTATTACGCCGCCATGACACTCAACAACACACAGCTACACACAAAAAGCCCATGGTGCGTCGCAGCGCAAAATGCTGGACGTCAGCTTAGTACTATGTCCCGGACACGAAGGCTCGGGTCCACGGCGCTGATTAGGTAACTTGATTGTCGTCGGTAACTCCCTATGAAGTACCTGTTCGTAGCTAACTAAAATACTGAATTGATTGCTCGGTGGCTGGGCAACTGGCTGCCGCGCCGTTCAATTCCCACACGGAACAACTCTTTATGTGATCTACGGATTGTTTGCCCGGGTCTGGGTGTCATGTGTATGTGACCTTATATCTTTGTAAACGCACCCACGACACAGGAGAAAATAAGAGTGTAGGACCATGTTCTTATTAAAAAAAGGAAAAATTACCGTTCTGACTGAAAGCAGTTTTTAGTCAATAAGAGTCTGACACTCCTTCTCGCCTCACTTAAGGCAGAAGAAATTTCATTATTTCTCCTCAAAAAAGTTATAATACTGAATAGAACAATTTTTCATAAAAGTTCCCTAATTACTAAAATCCAGAAAGTAACTAAAACTTTGTGGTATCACAATGAAATCGATTAGCCTTCAAAACCACTGGAATTTCCAACTTGAATACTTAGAGCTCTAAATAAATTTAAGTATTTAATTACTTAGTAAATTGTATTTACGAAAGATTTCGATGAATTATAGTGAAAGACTAAATCAGTTAGCAAACGATAGATTTAATTTTGTAACTCCCTAATTTATTTAGTTAAGAAACCTTTTAAAGTACGTGGGAGACACGAGGCTTTTAAACCGGCGATAATTTTATTTTTAGATCAATTAATACTTAGAAATTTCAATGGAAAATCTCAATTTCGTCTAATTATATAATCGTACTAAAACTTCGTTATAACTCTAATTGTAGTAGTTTAATTTGTGTACTTTGTATATTTGCAAAATTTATATGCTCGTGTTTAACAGTCGAACGATGAATTAGCAATTTCATCCCGTAAACTTTTCAATGAAATTATGACTTTTATAGTTCCTCTTCTGAGCTCCCAAAATACTTTTATTTAAGTGTGGGAGAGCCATGCTTCGGCAGGAATAGGCCGGCTCGACCGGAGTGATACCACGGCCATACAGAAAACGGACGTGAGACAACGCTTGCGTTCTGAATCCCCAAATACTCAAATTTGAAGTCCCCAAAATCCTGGTAACGCACTTGTAACGCCTCTAGTGATCCAAGTGTCCGTAGGCAACGCCGATTCCTTACCATCAGGTGATTTGTCAGATCGTTTACCGGGTTATATCATAAAAAAGTGTTGGTCTTCTCCCGTCTATGTTAAAACCAAACACCGAAAATTTACACAAAACCTGTACCTTTCACAATCAGCTAATAACTCCTCTATAAAATCCCATAGACCAAAATGAAAATTAAATGACAACTACAAACATAAAAGACTTATCATTAAATTAACATACACAATAACACATAATATATCTTTGCGAATAAATGTAAACTAAACAACATGCCTCAGTCTGCAATACATTCACTTTAGCGCAGACACCATAAACCACTCTAGGCAGGCAGTCTGAACAGATTTATACATATATGTCGTCATACCAGGAAGGGAAGTGAAAGGCCAATCGATTTATGACATTAATTTAATACATATTGTATGTATATTGCAATAAACAACTCCAGAGCTGAATATTTTGCTCTCCTTGAGATGTATCATGATACCTATATTGTAAAGTGTTATTTTAATTATAAGAAATAACTATTACAGTTTACTTTCTTATAATTTTAAAAATACGGTTTTACTGATAATATTTGTTTTCTGTTTCGAGGATTGCTCGACTGGTTTCGAGTCATACCGGGGCTCTTAATTACAATCCCAAATATTTTTAATAATAATGACTTCGGCGTTTGTAGTCAGTATTAGAGAATAGAGACTCGCTTATTACAAATATGGGTGTTATAACATAAACTAGTAAAAAGTGCATGATTAAATTATGCATATCTGTCTACCACTTTAAGTGACAGGTGTCATTATCTTACTACGAATCGGTTTACTGGTACCTCGGTGTAGGTAGTACAGTTATGGTTGACAAGGCTAACTGGTGAATATCATTGAATTGTTCTCCATATAATAAGACTATGAATTACAATCAATATAAAGCATCTTGAGTACGTTGGCTTATATTATTTATATTCAAATAAGTTTAGGGAAGTATTATTTAAACAATAATCCTGAAAAACATAATATCCTAAGTGAATAGATTATATTATTCCTAAGAAGAATCAAAGGATTTTGGACCTAAATGACTATCTGCAATTCGCGTGACGATGAAATAAAATGATGTTAGCGCAAATAAAAATCAACATCGTGTTTACATTGTATATTGGACGCAATTAAAATTTCAGATCGTAATAAAATTTCCAAACATAGACCTAACACAATAGTGTAAGGAAATATCCTTCGGTGTCTGCTTCTTAAATGAGAGTACGAGGCCAAAAACTGGCAATCTTTCTTCTTTCTTGAGAAAAACCGTACAATTTCCAATGACTTTGATATCGCAAATCCACCTTAAGCAAGCGTGATGACTAATGCTCATTCCTCCTCCGTTCAAGAAGAGGCCTTTGCACATAAAGACAGTTACAGGCTAGTGAAGGTTTTATACTGAATATCCCGAATCATTAAAATGCACTAAAGCCCTTAAAAACATGTGTTCTTTGTGCAGTTTATCCCAAAATTTCATTCGTTCTTGAAAGGGATTCCTACCCTTCGTCAGTTCTTGTCCTATACTGAGATAATTCAGCTTTTCTTTGCTTTCCACTGGGTCCCAAGTTATCCAGAGCAGTGGGTCATCTGGATCTGGTGTTGGGTTTCTGAAATTATAAGTGACAATTAGTAAAAATATGTATGGAAGAAGAAGTGATTTCAAAATATGAATTGATGAAGATGAAAAGTTTTAGAAGGGGTACAGTAAATAAATTAGTTAAACAGTAGCAAAACATTATTATCATATTTCTCTGAATAGCTGGGAATCAAACCAAAATGCAATAGCTCAACAAGAAAAAAACATATACTTTTAAATCTTACCCTGTTTTAGCGAAGTTAGTCCACATTTTGATCACTCTTGTCCTAGTAGTTATAGAATCTGGACTGCCTTTACAGACATCTGGCATTTTTATACGAAACAGGAATGGTAACTCCGCACCATGCCCAGTAGAGTTGAAAAAATTGAACTTCTCAGGCACTGCCCATTCTCCGGCATAGTTCAGTATGTAGTAGTATACGGGATACGAAGGTGCAAATTCACACAGTAATTTCACAGTCTTATTAACATAATATGAAAAATAATAATCACTGATCAATTGCAAATATTGAGTCCTATTTTTCTCACTCAAATGTTCTTCTCCGTCCAAATAAAACTTCAATATCTGATGCCCTATATTGTCAGACATTCTGTCTCTTCTCGCTAGTTCTCGAGGCACGAGCAATTTGATATTCTCGTTATATTTTTCAAAATTTGAACAAAAATTTTCTACAACGTATTGTAAAACTGCACCCTCTATATTATTACTTCCGATGATACACGGTACTTTATTAAAATTACCAGATTTCAGAATGACTATTGGACTCTTTGTGATAAATGCAGCTTGTCCTTCTAGGTCTACTTCAATGCAGGGTTTGAAAACAGAATCAAATAAATCACTTTCGACACCTTCGCTAAAACCAATGTGGAAGTTTTTGAAAGCTTCAGCAATATCTACTGCAGGGATCCTTCGTAACTCCTCAACGATTTCCTGCTTAGATGTCTTCTCTATACCGAGTATTTTTGCCAGTTCTATAACACCTTGTGATGGGTTCTTTGCTAAAGACCAGTTATTCAAAACACTGGCACTCTGTATGATAAGTTTGTGAAACAATCCGGTGGCCATTGGCGATAACATCATAAAGTTGACCATAGCTCCACCTGAAGAGCTTCCGAAAATTGTGACATTGTTTGGATCACCGCCAACGGTACTTATATTTCGTTGAACCCATTTTAGGGCCATTACTACATCCTTGAGTCCGCAATTTCCTGGTGCAGCGTAGTCATTTATGGAGAGGTATCCAAACGGACCCGTTCTATGGCCACACCTTACGAATATAACATTTTGATAATTGAATAAAGTGGCATCTAAGATGGGGTCTAAGACACATGAGTAGCCGTATCCTCCTATCCAGAACATTACTGGTATTGGTTTGTCAGGCTTTATACTAGGAGTAGAGAGCTCAATGTATAGGCAGTCTTCTGATCCACTAATAATATCGTAAACTGACCGGCAGACAGGGTTCGGAGCATCTTTCGTACAGTCTAATACTTCTGTCCACGGTGGTATTGGAGATGGGGGCTGAAAAATATGATTTAAATAAGCATCTCTTAATAATACAAAGGTAATCGTTTGGATTAAATAAGTCGGTCATGTTGCTTTACAGCAATGCAGTATCTACCCATTTACCCTCCGATCGTCCAAAGAAAAAGAATATTATGTTACACTTACGTCAATATTCTGACGTAAGTAAAATGCAAAAACAATATGGCTAATTATTACCTTCTTCAGGCGGTGTGTAATTATAAATAATAACAAAATTACTGCATACAAATAAAATGTAGTCAACTGAAGTACTTGCAACAATAACTATAATAACAAGTCTTATTTATGTCTAAATTAAGACTAGCGCTCAATTTACCTTTCTGTGTGAAAAGTCAGTATTAAAAATTACTTCTAACTTCGTCATCAATTAACATTTTAAAAATAAAGGAATAGAAAGGATTGCTTGTCTTCCATGGTTTCGTTAACAATGCCAATACCCTTGTACAATTTTGTTTTCAAGCTTACGAAATAAGTTGATCCTATATTAACCTTTCGTGTGTCTAAGACTTGGGTCCACACGAGACACAACGTATTTTGTATTGTGTCTCATATCGGTGCATTCAAAAGGTTAAAACTATATTGATCACGTATTTGAAAACATTTTGTATTTTATTAAACGTAAAACGTGTATGTACCTATATTATTATTATTTAATGTAAAAAATTAACATTCAAAATTAAAAGAAGCTATGATTTAAAGAACACAGGACCGAAAGTAATCGAACAGTGTTATAAGTGACAGATCTCATATATGACTTACCAGGAATCTCAAGTGGCCTAGTGGTGGTTTAGCATAAGGTATACTTTTAAACTTGTAACAAATACCTTCGTCAGTCTTTTCACAATATCCACAAATGGGTCCGTCTGCTGTTTGGACTATGCATTTTGCTTCCTCCGGTATATCCACCATTTTTATTGTTGTCCTGGAAAATTAAAACTAAAAATCAATTTGGGATTAATTTTATGGGTGGTGAGCTCGACATCGACTATTGGGTTATTTGAGTACACTAAATAATAACATGTTAGAGTTTTCGCCTTAAATAATTTAGCATTAGTGCAATACAAGATATGTTGTGTGTGTCTACAACAAAAATAATGTATTCGTATACATTTATTTGTATTCCAGTATTCATGCCTGTTATCATTTCCTTTGAAAAGGTATAAATAAAATATTTTACGGTAAATGAATATATTGCAATAGGAATATCACAACCGTGATGTCAGATCATCGCACTTTTAGGGAAAATATAATAACAACCATTAATCATTAATTAAAATAATTCAATACCTAATAATGATACATGCACAATATGCATTACTTACACGTAGCAGATTTAGTAAAAAAAAACACAATTACTCGATGATAAAAACAAATTAAGACTACAAAATTATCTGTGGCCAGAGTGGCCAGTGCGTCATGCACACGCATATCCAGTTTTATAATCTAATAGAATGTTCTATACTCTGTGCCTATTCGAAAAAAAAAATACTCGAATTGTATGTGCCCGCTATTATTAGAATGGCTACCCAACCTATGTTGTTTTGTTTATAGCTATTGATGTTCCGTAAAAAACCTTGACTTTATGAAGGCCGTCTTTCTTTATAAATTAATATTAAAGTTGTTTATCGATTAAATATATGTATGTATGTTCTCTACTGTCTATAGTTATTGGATTATATATTTGTTTAGTAAGACTGCTCGTGATTTTGTTTGCGCGGGTCTAAAACCCCTTAGGAAATTAAAATAAAGCTTACCTACTTAACTTATGTTGTTTGATCTATTCGAAAGACTAAGTAAAGATATTTCTTAGGAAAAATGCTTTGGGAAATCGTATGCCTACTTATTTATTTTATGTCTAAATAAATAGTGTTACCTAGATACATAGGTATGCTTAAATTACCGGTGTAGAGCCTTGTCGACAACTACTAAAATACCCAGATGTAACTACCTAATTTATTTTCGTGATGTCAAAAACTGACATTTATTTAAGAGTTTTGGATAATCAGACTCGAGTTAAAAGTTAAACTGTGACGTCAGACAAACCTATTTGGGTTTTGATTAATTACAAACTAATGAGATGAATGAAGTAAGTCAGTATGTAATTTAGCGTTATGTTTTATAATGCCAAGGAATCACAGAATATAGGTACATTTCTGGTGATAACAGAAATTCGTACCGAATATTTACTTTGATAACAGTATCATCACACTCATAACATGTGAGAAACCATAGCATCTATCACAGAAATATATAATTAAGTTATGTTTTCCGCAATTTTAGAAATATCGTACCTATTTTTAGTAGACATTATTTTCACAAACACATGTTGTCATCTGTTTCTGTTTAATAGGATTGAAACAACAGGAAAACTAACAAGAACAGAATTGTAGGAAAATAATACACTCAAGGTACATACTTAAGGCACCTAAATAAACAAACACCATTAATTTGTAAATAAAAAAACTTACGGTAACACTGTTGAACACATTGTTTCGTACGATACAAGTTATAAATCCTTTATTTGTTACTTGTTCGTTGTTATTATTATTAAATTCGTTCAATGGATGCCGGCGGAAAAACGATTAAATTCAAATAATCACGCACGACATTACGCCATGAACACATAAACTAAATAACAGACTAGCTAGATACAGGTACATACGCGGGAACTTGTTAACCTTGGTCGTCGATGGCAAAGTTCAATGTTGCCAGCTTAATAACAGTTGAAATAGATTATTACATTATTAAACACAAAAAAACAATGTATACCGGTCTTTAGTTGAAGAATTCTTAGGAAAATGAAGCATATAATAACGTTCTTTTTTTAAATTTAATTCAGCATTAAAAATATAAGAATTTTAAATAGTATTATTTTCTATTATGGCAATAATTTATTTAAATGTCAAAGTGTGAGATGGAAATGTCAGTTTTCAAATATTGTTTTTTTTTTGCATTGGAATGATTCATCATTTTAATTTGAACGGCATTTATTAGCAGGTTGTAACATGACCGTGCTTGTTCTCAATGAGTTAACTAAATGATGCAATGACCTCTTATCATCTTGATTGTTTAAAAAGATAGAGTAAGAATGACGGAGCTGTTTGATAAATACCAGCCGAGACGTGCTGTGAATAATGAGGCTAAAAAAAGATTACTAAATATATTTTGCTTGTGTTATTTGACAATCCCTAAGTCGTGGATTATCAGGTCGTCTCTGCATCAGGAAATCTGTCAGTTCAGGTTGTTTATGAGGGTATACGATAGTCAATCCTTATTGTCAAAGAAGGGCAAATACAAAAAAAATATTATCACAGAAAACTAGAGAAAAGTTTGGACTACGTTTCGTTGTGTGAGTGTGGTTACTGGAGGAACAAAGGTAGAATCGGAAAACCGAAATAACCGACTAGGGAATCGAACCTATTGCTCAGCAGTCGCCCTTGCAACGACTCGCTTATTGAGGCGGTCATTACACCCTTTTCTATTATCGGAAACCATTTAAATTATCAAATGTGTCGTGTATAAATTAATAAACTTATGCAACACTGACTTTTAACCCCGGTGAAATTGTCCGTGTCATAATCCGGTCTCCGAAATAAGGATAACACGGGTATGCGGTCAAAAACAATCTTGACCTGACCTGAAGCAATAACTACAAAAATAACTCTTATTGTCACGAAATAAGAACGTTATTTGTATCACATTGTTACCGTAGAGAAACTATGTTGACTGTGGGCAAATATTTAAAGTTATAATTTGCGAAGTTTTTCAATTAATCTTGTAAACTTCGGTTAATAATATAATAGACTGGTATGGAAGTTGGTAATTTGGTGTTCATTGATAAAATAATAATGTTATTGTACACACGACAACAGCTGTTTCGTAATGCCGCTGTTAAACGTAGGTACTTGTAACGATGACTGAGTTTAACTGATTTTAAATCAGATCAGTAAGTAATCCGAAATAAAACGCTATATGTATATTGTAAAAGGCAAAATCTAGTACGATCATTGGGGAGCGCAACGCATAGATTTTCTAAAATTTCTAAAACGAGAACATACGACTTACGCGAATAAAAAAATCTAGAGATAAAATCATAAACTCGTTGTAGAATAATGGTGAAAACAATGTGAGGAAGCATTAAATCAAACAAGTATTGATTAATTGAACAAAGACCACGATACTCGATAAATACACGTTCCGTTTGCTAGATGGCGTAATTGTTGACAAAGGCTCACAACCTCATGTATTGAGGAGCATAAATTATTGCCCATATTTATATTTAGTACTCAAAACCTACCCACACGCGCTGCAGTTGTTTACATAATTTTGCAAGCACTTCTCCATCAGACATATAATTATGACTATACTATATCTTACCCGCGGGTTTCTCATCATGTTTTGTTTTTAAAATGTCATATCGCTGTTAGAATAGAATGTCTGCGAAAGATCTTTACCTGTGAAATAAACTGTGACAGATCTTTACCCCTCCTAATCCCCAAAAGGCCGGTAACGCACTTGTTGCGCCTCTGGTGTTCCAGGTGTCCATGGGTGACGCCGATTGCTTACCATCAGGTGATCCGTCTGCTCGTTTGCCGGCTTATCCCATAAAAAAACCCCGAATGGCGAATAAAAGTCCACAATAGTGAATAATTAATTTGTAACATGGTTCAATGAAATAGAAGACTATTTTATTATTGTGTGCCTAATGATCTGTGCAATTTGCAAATCTATTCCGAAACATTTTGCTCCTAGTCGTGCCTGCGTTGCGACCATTCGATCTACGACGCCTACTAGGCAGCTCTACCTTTCTCCGTATACGGACTATTAGATACTCAAGATTTTTTCCAAAACAGACGAGCAATTTATGAGAACAATATCATATGCAAACTAGCTAATTCATGAGCTTTACTTTAGCATAAAGATGTAAGCGGATGACTGAGTAACCGCTATGCACATTGCACATTGATTTATTCTTACCACGTTAAACCAAAGGGTGAATATCCTTTGCCAAAATTCCTCCATGTCTCAGTTGGTACCAGGTTGGTTCAGGTCATAATCAGTTTTATCATCGTCACCTATAACTGCCCACTGCTGAACAAAACCACTTTGGTACTTGCCATAGATATAATAAAGAATTATTTTTTAATATTTCTGTGGTACTTGCCGTTGGTTGGTTTAGAACCCGCAATCAGTTTACATAACTATATTTTATTTATTTAATTCAGGCAGGCAGTTGAAACAATTGAAATAGGCACGTATCGTATTTTTCTATTAATTAATTATTAGTATTTAATTATTGAGAATTTTGGATACTTAAACCATCGTATCCAACAATTTTGAAACGTTTGAAACCTTTTTCAGAAGTGCTATGTTTATTTTGGTTTTTACTTTGGATAAAATTAATGACGACAAAAAGTTTTACTTGACATTTAGTAGGAACAAGAAAAAACCTGGTTCTGGTTGAAAATAACTTGCGATTTCGTGTTCAAAAAAAGAAAACTTTATTGTGTTATATTTTGCGCGTCATACAGTTTTGAACTTAACTAACTCAATTGTTCTCTTACACTTTCCTTGACTCAACCTTTAAACAGCTTAAGTCTATTTTTACTTGAGCAGTATAATTGTATAATCGACTGAGTCATGCTCGCCTTGACTGTGAAACCCGAACGATATGATCACATTAGGGGGTGGAGTTGCACATGTAGTAAATTGACGACTTAGTTGACTTTATCACGTGGAATGGCAATGAACATCGGTCTATATAGTTCTGTATTCAAAGGCTTTATTAAAAAAAAACATTCAAAATAGATATTAGATAGATACTTTTGAGTCAGTTAAAATAGGATTGTCCGTAGGCAATAGTGAACTTTTTCACCTTATGAATAAGATTTATAATTTGTTATGGAGAACATAAGTTCGGAAACATCTACGGAATTTGAAATTAATTTATAAATATAATAGTAATAAAACATCGTATCTGTTGTGACGACCATGAGACCTTAAATTATGCACATATTTTGTAGTTTTATAATCCGTCCAGAGGAGAACACTTAAACTGTCAAACACCAAGCGGTCACCGGTGACCGCAACCTATTGTTCTATAATTGTGTCTACAAAACCGGTACTCGACGAGTTAATCATAAAACGTCGTTATGGTATTTTATTTATTTTTGGAAATATGACGTTTTTTCCACAGAGTCTAAACGTTTTTTTTTTCAATTTTAATGGCAGCTGGCATAATGAGTATGGTCTTTGGACCTGTGTTTACTCATTTGTGTAAAAACAGTCGAACCAGGCCAGACTGAACGACACACTTGCCTGCAGACTTTATAAAAACTGTCGATGAGTAATGCGTTACCTAGGCGAAATATTTTTTGTTTCAAATTAACACGCGATTTTCCTTGTTTCTGTGTCTTTATTGAAGATTTATGTTTGTTTCTTTATGAACAGAGGAATTGAAAATAATAATACCTATTTACTAGTTAGTCTAGAGCTGGTTTAGCTAACAATTTTCCAATTAAACCGTCAGTTAGTACGTCATAATGAAAAAATATTTGACACGTATTTTTTTTCTCGTATACAGTTACAATACTTAGATAAAATGGAGTTAATTTTAGGAGTGGGAGGTTAGATATGTCACAAAGTGTTACAAAATATAGCACGTTGTGACGTCACACGATATTTCAAATTAATATAATTATCGTCAAAAGCATTTAATTTTAGAGAAAAGAAAAAAATACGTGTCTAATGTTTTAAATTAATGTACCAGACGGACATTAAAGGAAAATTTAAGAAACTAGGGTAGGTTAACTACAATAGGGGTATTGTAGGATTTGTAATATTTTTCGTAGATTTTCGAACTGATAAAGCAGACTTTAGTTATTAAAAATAGGTAAATAATACATCGATCAAATTATTTAAATTTATTATGAATACATCACGCCTATTATCCCCGAAGTGGTAGACAGAGGTGCACATTACGGCTCTTAATGCCACTGTATTCTTATGAATGTTTGTGGGTTATCTCCGTCAGATGATAATAATTATGCCGTAATATAACAACGACACACCAAATGAGACACGTTCTCTCATATTAACCAATACAGTTGTTGCATAATGCACTCAAAACAATAGCAGTTAAAATAGATAATTAGTTGGTATTTACAGATGACAAATTGTTAATTGTTATGTTGAAGTAAATGTTTATTTTAATTAGATGTTCTTACATAAGTATTGTCTAAAAAATGGAATCCGACTATCATACGTTGGGCCCACTTGGGCCTATGGCTGAAGTTACGGCTCTGGTTCGAAGTGTAGGAGTAGGAACGGGGTGGTTTTTAGACAGTAAGAGTTTGACACTCCATTTCGCCTCACTTAAAGGCATTAGATGATTTTTCGAAAAAAAAGGAAATTAAGTATTGTATTATGTTCACCTTGAACTGAACGCCATGGGGGACAACGTGTGGGCCACGCTAGCGGAGGATTTACCTTCAACAGTTTTGTGTCGGCAGTCAAAGCCTTAATTATTACGTTTAGAAGGTACAGATGAAAATACATTTACTGAACAATTTCTAAATATAAACAATTTACTTGCAGGCAACATAAGTGCGGTGTTCACATATAAATGGAAGGGCGAGGAGATAGCGCGGCTGGTGGACAACGGGACGCGAGTCACCATCGGTATCATCAAGGGCAGGACCTTCGCACACGTCAGCAACAATATCAACAAGTAAGTTTAGTCTACTTAGATTTTACGAGTAGCTACTGCCACGTGGTTGCACCCGCTCTGCTTGGCTCCTATTGGCTATAACGTAATGTTTTTGGCTTATAGCCTCCGTCATTAAACTGTCAAACACCAAGCGGTCACCGGTGACCGCAACCTATTGTTCTATAATTGTGTCTATAATGACGGTACTCGACGAGTTAAAAAGACTATCCAAGACAAAAATACTTTTTCAAATTGAAGCAGTACTTCTAGAGAATAGCGCGTTTAAACTTTACTTCAGTTTCAATTCTGAATAACCGCTTTTTTGAGGCAGAACAATTAGCTCTCGGTGATGCATAAGGCCTCCCTTGAAAATGGTATACTTTTGGATAGCGATTCTCATTAGTTCATATAAGAAGGTTCAAGGTTGATATGCGCATACGTTTACGGAGGTAGTTTTCAAGAACTGTATATAGCTACTGAATTCAGCCATGAATTGAACTATTGCCACTTAATGATTCGTTTATGCGATCTATTCTACAGTAAATAGGAAATAACTTTGTCCATATACATAAAATACCTCTAAACCACATTAATTTCGACGCCCAATATAATGAGATACACGGATGCATACGAAACTAAACATTCCATCTTTACTATTAACATTTCACTGCACATCTAGCGCCACAGCAAAGTACCAAGTTACACTGGCCGGTCCTTGGCATTCCGTATGCATAATGCGTGCGATGACAGAGGTAGTTGCCAATTCCAAAATAAACAAACATATTTCAATCTTTATATAGAACGTAATAAATTATTTCGAGTACCTAAATGGTTGCAAATAATATGCACGTATCTGCTTGCGTATGTTACGTTGGTTGATGATATCAGGAATGTATGAGTCAAAAGGTGCAAATACGCTTTACTCAGCCATAACAGGAGTCATGAATAGTTGTAAAAACTATACTACATATTTATTCAACTTGTAATTAGCACTAACCAGTCGGGGAAAAGAATCAAGGTGCCAATGCACATTCTCTAAAATTGCATGAAGCAAATGAAGTCTGGGAGAGCCATGCTTCGTTCGGCACGAATGGGCCGGCTCGACCGGAGTGATACCACGGCCTCACAGAAAACCGACGTGAAACAACGCTTGCGTTGTGTTTCGTCCCCCTTTCCCCAGAATCCCCAATTCCCGAATCCCCCACAATCTTCAAATTACCAATTCCCAAAAGGTCGGTCGTTACCGACAAGTGCGTTTACTTGTAACGCCCCTGGTGTTTCGGGTGTCCATGGGTCACGCCGATTGCTTACCATCAGGTGATCCGTCTGCTCGTTTACCGGGCTTATCCCATAAAAAAAGCATTCCAAAAGACGTTCTATTGAGGCATGTTCAAAAATGTTTATAAATCGAACGCCTGTCGATTCGCAAGCATGCCATGAGCGTGCTAATTTTGAGCAATATTCCGACATGCTACTAAGTGACAAGTGCTCATTTAAAGCGTGCTTTCGTGGTTGATATTAGCATGCGTACTGTACCTGTAAGTGCTGTAACTAGTTATTTCTTCAAAGTCATGCATTAATCTCTTAGCTATTGGTAAAATCCGATCGGTAGTTTTGAAGTTGCAATCAAATGTGATTTAAAATTATAGCTACTTCGTAAGTTGTAAAGAATTGCAATTACCAAAGATGACGTATTAGATCTAGAAGTTCGATGCAACTTGTTTTATAATGACGCTACCAATGCAAACTTGTTCGCTACGGTTCGCATGCCACATGCAATGCTTATGCAATGTTATCTATTATTTACTGTTTTTCTACAATACATAATAGTAATTAATTTGTATTTGCGGTATAGGTAAAACCCGGTAATGACCGGTTTTGTTATGTAAAAAGTTAATAAGTTAACATGCTTAGATCTATGATCTTTCTCGCGTGACTGTTTCTTATCTACCTAGGTATTTGTTTTTATCCACGGTAAAAAGTATCCTATGTCCTTCTCCGTACTGCCAACTATATGTAGGCAAATTTTCAACAAGATTAGTTGAGCATATAAAACGTAAAAAGGTAACAAACTTATAAACGAAATTACTGAATTGTTGGCGAAGAAACTCGACTAGTTTCAAGCCTCGTTAGGGGCTCATATTTATTAGCAGCATTGCGTTATCTTGCCAAACAGTTATGACTTATGAGGCCTATCTTAAATATAATTAATTTAATATGTCTAACGAAAAGAAATTGCCGACGTCACTATTGCTTGTAAGATAATAATAGTAAGTGATTGTTGATGTGTTTTTTAAATAATTTGTAATTTATTGTGTTCCAGGACATCTGTGCTATTCGTGTCGATATCATTCATCGTGCTGATGGTGATCTCGCTCGCGTGGCTCGTCTTCTACTACATACAACGCTTCAGATACATACACGCCAAAGACAGACTCTCTGTAAGTCTTAATTACACATAACATCATGTTGCGCTTTTTATCTCCGAAGGTATAATTTAACTATGTAATGCCAAGTTTTACTAGTTCTGTTATATTGCGGCCCAAATAACAGGGGATGTGAGCATAATGCTATCCACCAAAAAAAATGTTATTTTGCTTTACAATTACATGCTAAATCTGAGAATTTTTTTTAAAAAGTTTACCAGATCCGAGAATCGTACCCGAGACCTCTTGCTCGGCAGTTATACTAATTGTGACCTCTTGCTCAACGATTTCTTCTTATCCTTACTCACCTATTCCAGAAGTTTTCTAATAGTGTTTATTTTTTATTTCAGAAACGTCTATGCTGTGCGGCAAAGAAAGCACTATCAAAAATACCTCTTAAGAGTTTAAAGACTGATGATAGGGTATGTAGCGTTATTTATTTTTCATTGCTATTACATTTATATTAAGTTGTATACCAGAATTTAATACGCGGGCATAGACTTAGCTTCAGTATTTTTTTTTAATGGTATTAGCCGGTAAACGAGCAGACGGATCACCTGATGGTAAGCAATTGGCGTCGCCCATGAACACCTGGAACACCAGAGGCGTTACAAGTGCGTTACCGGCCTTTTGGGGATTAGGAGTTTGAGGATCGTTGGGGATTCAGGAATTCATATGATATGAGATTAATTAAATATGGGAAGAATTTATTTGTCAAGTTTCAGTGCCTTTAGCCAAACGCCACTTTAACGCTTGTCTACAGAGAGAGTAGAAAACTAAATGTATGGGGATGACACTGACAAGTGTCAAAATTTACGTCAATTCCATACAATTTGGTTTTCTCTTCTATATGTAGACAAGCGCTAAATGGCATTTGGCTACAGCTGCTGATTCCACACGATAACTAAGAATTTTTCAACATATTCTACAGCTATTATTTGAGCGCTAAACAAAGCCTAGCCTGAATTATACAAGTTACGAAATTCCTCAGTAGTTAAAAAAAACATTAAAGACTCTTTTTACTACCGTTCGTGAATTTAATTCATAAAATAAAATGCAAGCACGTGACTCAGTAACAACCTACTTATTTTATGAACGAATTTTTTATATATATGTAAAATATTTTGTTATGAAATATCTAAGTATATTAAATAAGTGATTTTTTATGGTTTTCAGGAAGTTCAAGGTGACGGCGAGTGCTGCGCCATCTGTATAGAACCTTACAAAGTGTCTGAAACACTAAGATCTCTTCCTTGTAGGTCAGTATCCATAAAACACAACATCACGCCTTTTTATTCCCGAAGGGGTAGGCAGAGGTGCTCATTACGGCACTTAATGCCACTGTACAATGTTACACCCACTTTCCACTATTTATGTTATGAGTCCCATGTAATAGGGGGTGAGCCTATTGCCATATACCGGGCACATTTCCAGAGTCCGTGCTACTAATGAGATTTTATAAACCCCGTAATACTTTGCCCGATCCGGGAATCGAACCCGATACCCCTTGCCCGGCAGTCGCACTTGCGACCACTCGGCCAACGAGGCAGTCACTTTTCCAATATTTAATTTATCTAAGAATGTACTGTTGGTTTCCAGACACGACTTCCACAAGAACTGCATAGATCCGTGGTTATTGGAGCACCGCACGTGTCCTATGTGCAAGATGGACATACTCAAGTACTACGGCTTTGTGGTAAGTAGTCCACTACACTATTATGTTGGTGGATTACCAAATTATAGTCGGATTTATTATAATAATGTGCAGAGCGCACGACGTTTACACTAGAGTATGACAGATAGGCAGCGACATTATTGACGAGTGTCCTACCTTATATAACACATTATAGTAAGGGGCCACTACTTTTTTTTATGGGGACAAGCCCGCCGCAACCTCCCAAACCGCTGCAACTCCTGTAAGCCAGGAGCTCCAGTAGATACAACCATGAAAACACCGAAACATTGAAGTCATTGAAGTGAAGTCAACATTGAAGTGTCCCAGGGACATGAGTGTTGGTTCCCGTAACGAACTACTACTTACTAAATAGTGATGTTAATACAGACTAATACATACATGTAACATACACAATATTAAGTTTTTAAATAACTGTAATGTCGTGGTGGCCCGGAGGTTTAAGAAACCCGCATCTCATGCGTCAGAGTGCGGGTTCGAACTTTGAAACATACCAACGGCAAGTACCAATGTGACTTTTTCCGAGTTATATGTACTTTCTAAGATTATGTAGACACCACTGACAAACGATGAAGGAAAACATCGTAAGGAAACCTGGGCTTATAACTTCAAATTATAAGTTTGTAATCGTCAACCCGCATTGAGCGGTGATTAATGCTCAAACCTTTACCGTGGGAGAAGAGAATTTGCTCCCCAGTGGGTATTTATAGGCTGTTGATGATGATGATGATATAACTCGAACTTCGAAGGCTGCGGACCATGTTAAAATATGTAATACACATTCTTCATCCATTTCATGGTTTTATATTCCAATACAATAACCAATTCTATGTTATTTACTACTAGCTTTTACCCGCGGTTTTGCCGCGTTCCTGTGGGATAGAAAGTAGCCTATGTGGACCTATGGTCTACAATGATATTTTATGGTCTATTCCCGACCATAAAATATCTCTGTTTCAAATTTTATCTCTATCCCTTCAGCCGTTTTGATGTGATTGGGTAACCAACATAGTACTTTAACACACACACAAATACACAAATTTTCTATAATATTAGTAAGATTTCTGATCGAAAATGTCAATAATCATTCGCTCAATTTACGAGTACTTTAAACTTTCCACCGGTCTGGGCCTGGTTATGGTTATTCAAGAAAATAGTTTTAATACACGAACACTTCTTCAAAACATTAAAATTGAATTACTAAGACTTAATATTAATTATTCCGTTGTTTCCAGTTCACAGGCAGTCAGGAGAGCATCCTCCAGCTGGAAGTAGAGGAGGCTCGCAGCCGCGCGCTGTCCCCCGCCCGCAACCGACACCCACTCACACTCGTAAATGTTATACTGACTTTTATATACATATTTATGCTTTACACATTTCTATATTAATATTGTTCACTATCCCTTCATCGCTCACATCGTACTGAAGTCGAAAATCGTAATTTACTTTGTCTAACCAGCTGTAGTCAAATGCCATTTAGCGCTTGTCTACATGTAGAGTAGAAAACTAAATTGTATGGAATTGACGTAAATTTTGACACTTGTCAGTGTCCTCCCCATACATTTTGATTTCTACTCTCTCTGTAGACAAGCGTTAATGGCCCTGCAGCTATAGCCAAATACCATTTAACGCTTGTCTACATGTAGAGTAGAAAACCAAATTATATGGAATTGACGTAAATGTTGACACTTGTCAGTGTCATCCCCATACGTTTTGATTTCTACTCTCTCGGTAGACAAGCGTTAAAGGCCCTGCAGATATAGCCGAATACCATTTAACGCTTGTCTACATGTAGAATAGAAAACCAAATTATATGGAATTGACGTAAATGTTGACACTTGTCAGTGTCATCCCCATACGTTTTGATTTCTACTCTCTTTGTAGACAAGCGCTAAAGTGGCGTTTGGCTAAAGGCCATGTGCCTTTAGCTAAACAAAATAATTTTGTTTTCTATTCTACATGTAAACAAGCGATAAATGGCATTTGGCTACAGCTGTAGACCATTCAACTTGTTAACACTATATTAGGGCTGGACTGCTCGGTACAAAGAAGTATTTCGAAGATAAACAATATTTGATAACACTGCGTAAAATCGCAAGTTCACATGTAGCTTGGTATCTGTCTGGTAGCCCAACAGATACTATCAAAAGTTAGAGGATCCTAGTCAAAGAGAGGACTGTTCTACCATTCTTCTACACTACCTGGTACTTCATGATCAACCACCATCACCATTGCTTATAACAACATTCTTTATAAAAAACTTTATGTACCTCTATAAAACGCAAAACTAAACATATATTTGTCTATGTTTCCAGTTGACGAGCGATAATTCGTACGAGGAGGCTGGCAGTGAGCGCAGTAGTCGCGCGTCGTCGCCCGACGAGCTCGTACCGTCGCTGCCGCGGCCGTGTGACACGCCGCGTCATCATCTCGCTTCCAGGTACACCTTCATATCATAGTATCATGCCATGGCTAACTTTATTTTTAATAATATTATAACATAACATCACGCCTTTTATCATCAAAGGGGTAGGCAGAGGTGCAAATTATGCCACTACAATGTAACACCCACTTTGCATTATTTATGTTATGAGTCCCATGTAATAGGGGGTGACCCTATTGCCATATACCGGGCACATGTCCAAACTCCGTGCTACTACTGAAATTTTTTTTAAAACCCAGTAGTATTTTGTCCGAGCCTGGAATCGAACCCGAGACCCCTTGCCCGGCAGTCGCACTTGCGACCACTCGGCCAACGAGGCTGTTCAATTTAACACTAACTAATACTATAAAACTACTTTCTGGGCGGGCTCGACCGGAGTGATACCAGAAGACCGACATAAAACAACACTTGCATTGTGTTTCGTCGTGTGAGTGAGGTTACTGGAGGCCCAACCCCCCC